CATAACCCAGCCCTCTTTTCTTTCTACGCCCCGACATCTTCCTCAAGGAGTACTCACGATCAAGATGTCGAAGCCCTCGGTGGCTGCCATCTGCCTGAGCAGGTCCTCGCTGTCCCGTTTTGCGTCCAGCACGCCAAATGCGTTCAGTATCGAATAGGGCAGCTGCTTGGTGCGAAGCACTCCCACCGAGCTCAAAAAGACCACTTTTTTCACGGTCCGCTTTCGAGGTTTGCTCGTGATAGCTTTTAGTATGTTCTGAACGCCTTTGCGGTCAACTGCGTCTGGGGTATTGCCCCCCCGCCATCGGGGAGAAGGGAAAGCACTGGTGCCCGTGGCAATGATGACACAGTCTACGTCGCTTAAGGGGCCATACAAGGAGTCGATATCACGGGAGTCCGCTTCGGCAAATTCAAGTTTGGGGCTCTCGCCTCCCAAGACCTCGCGTAGCTTCGCCTCACTGCGTCCAACTGCCTTCACTTGATACCTCCCCTCGTCGACCAATCGAGCCGTGATAAGTTGCCCGCAACCACCTGTTGAGCCTATAACACAGACACGGTCATTCACCTTCAGCTCCACCGCCATCATTGTAAAAGGACTCGTGCTTTTCCTTCCCGCATAGCTCGCGCTGGCATGTCGCGGGCCGCGGCTGCGTGGGCGAGCCGCGAGAAGGGCGTCAGGAAGTAGCGGAGAGGAAAAACCCCACGCGGTCCAGGCCCAGAATAAGACAACCAAGGGAAGTGGCCGCCACATAACTGGGGCTCGTCTCCCACTGTGCGAATGGGCGTGGGAATTGGGTGTGGGGGATGCGGCAATGGGCTGAAAGTTCCGAGGGGTCGTCGCTTTTTCTTGCTCACCTCGCTCCTTCTCCTGCGTCCCCTGAAGACTTGACTTACCGGCCACCTTTTCTAATATTTGCCAGCGTGACCAAAGCCAATAAGGACTACACAGCTCTTTGACGCACAATCGTACATCAGGAACCCATGGGAACATGCCCTAGCGCGTCAGTCTTTGTTTTGTTGCTCGTGCTTCTTGTAAGCATCAGCCTCACTTCAGGTACGGATCATAACATGTGTGAGCTTGACTTCAATCGTGCGAGCTTCATTTGCAACACATTTATACACATGCGCGCCTTCAGTAATGGCTGCGGCTGAGCCCACTCTCTCTCGGAAGGAACATTTGGATGCTAAGAGGGCTTTTGACCGGGTAAAGCAACACCCTGTGACGGACGGAGATGGGCCCCTCATTGAATACAAGGCAGCAGACGGGACCATGAAAACCATGACACAGGTGAGCAAAGGCACAGTCGTTCAATACAGGAAAGGATTCTACGCGTACTCTTGTACTCAGGAAGGTCAATTCAATAGACGAGACCAGGGAATGTTACCCTTCCCACCCAGATCTCACCTTCCTTTTGTGTTCGATTGCCTAGGCCGACCTCCAGCAGCGTCTGCAGCAGCAAGACGCCGTGCTCCCCCAGCTGAACGAGGACGGCAGCACACTGACCAAATCAGAGGAAGGAAAAGCCACGCTTGAGGAGGTGCGTGGCACGGTACATCTATTGGGGGGATGGATTGGAATCCTCAGGACATCGGAAAAAATAAGAAGCCATCGAAGGGAGGGGGAAAAGGAATTTCGCGCTCAGACCTCCATACACAGCTGAAGACCAAGGACCCCTACTTGTCGCGCATGGTCGAGGCCTCCCAGTTTGCATTGCACAGGTCCGTCTCCCATGTCTGATAAGGACGGTGAAAGGCACCTGTTGTCCCTGTGCCGTTGTCACAGCTTTTAAAACAACACACACGACGATTCACTCATGCTTTACAGACTGCAAGCGGACGGGGCGCTGGACAAAGAAATGCGGCTGAAGTCACTCCATACTGTGGAGGAGGAGGGACCTGAGGTAAGGAGGCGCCCTCATACCGAAGCTGTCAACCCCGAGCACGCTCTGCATAATCTTACTTTCGTTCATGCCTTGCTAGGGAACTTCTACGTTGGACGCGGACCATATCAAGCTCCATCTGCGTCTGGTGGTGGAAGATGAGACGATGCACCAGGAAGAGGTCGAGGTACGGCGTGGACGCGCGTGGGAAGGAAGGTGCTTGCTTTCGCGCCTCACGAACCTACGAAATGACGCCGCCGCCCAATCACATGCCTTCTCATAGGTCTTGCTAGAGGGCGGGGACGGACATGGGGCGCTGACACATGCCTGGCGACTTGTAGGTGAGGATAAAGTGGCCATCGCCCTCTCCTTCCCTGAGGCATCGCCACCTGCGTCGTCCTGGGGATGGCTCTCGGTGCTCACGGGCGTCATAAATGGCGAGCGTGTCCTGCTAACTGGCAGGGAGTGGTCCCCAGGGATGGTTTGGATGCTGGGAGGCGGCTTTGTGTGCGTCGCGGTTGGATTGACGTTGGTGGTCACGAGCGCCGTTGGCAAGAAGTCAGGCAGGGGGGCCTCCAGAAAGGGGGATTGAAAGAATTCAAGTTGGCCCGGAATATAAAGATAATCAAGACCTAGAAATTGTAAGAAGAATAAATTGATCCCGGAGGGCGCTACTCGCCGCCTCCTGCAAGTGTCTCCTCTCCCTTTGTGGGGCTATCATTTCTCTTTCATACCTGCTGGGCATTATTGTATGCCTCATCATTACATTATTGACGGCTGCCTGAGGGAAAGACGCGTGTGCTTGAAATGTCACTGTTGCTTGGGTGGGCGCTTGAGCAATCGTAAATGGAAGCGCTTTGGAATTGCGTCAGGTTACCAGGATACATAAAGATATCAGAAGGAGTGTAGCATAGACGTCATGACATTTGAAAAGTGGCAGCGAATCCGTAGCTAGGCAGCGTGGAAATGGAGCTGAAAGGTCAGCCTTCCAATATCTGCAAATCATCGGCAGAGCTTCTTTCTTTGTTTTGTGTGCGTTTACAACTATCAGGACACTGTACTTTTCATCCGTTTTCCTTGTCTTCAATCACCTAGAGCGTGACTGAATATTGATATATCCCTCAAACTCGAGCGACGCTCAACACACAATTATTAATCGACAATGAATCTGACTGTAGCTCCCCAGGCACAGGCTATGTACTCTTTGTCGAAATCTCTTTACTAACTGATTGTGAATCTATCCCCTCTCTCTACACCATTGCGAATGCTTTCGTTCCCTAACTATCAAATAATCGGCTAACGCATCACCATGTTGAACTTCAACGTTTCTGATTAGTTTTCTCACCCGAATCATGTCTGAATAAGCAAGCCGAACCACCATCACATCCAGCGCCTTTGCCAAAGAATCGGCATTTCCTAGAATGTACAAAATTCCTACTTCCTTTCTCTGCCGTATATTTTCGGCCATTTCCAACCGCTGTGGGGGGAGGAACAGGAAGATTTGAGTTTGTCGTAGGAAGAGCCACACTAGTATCTTTGATAGCTGATTTGACTGCAGGGATGGCGGTTATAGAATGTGCACCAGAATCAGAATAAGAGGCGCCCGAGGCGATGGTGGTTTTCGTATCTTGGCTGCACTGGGATGTTGGAGAAGCCAACGCCGCCGGAGCGGCAATGGACTGCGGCTTTTCTTCTCCTTGCTTGACGGAAGGCATCATCGCAGAATGGTCAACCTGTTTTTGGACCTGCCCTGGCTGCAGCAATGGTACACCTTTGGCAACAGAGTTGGAGCCCTCCAAAGTTTTTGCACGGCGATCAGAGTGTAATTGAGGTGGCTTTGCCGAGGCTGGGCCGCTACGCATGGGCTTCGCGGTGGCCACGTTGTGGTGAGGGTGGAATAAAACTTGTTGATGCTGTTGGTGGTGCGTGTCGCTCTTCGACGAAATGCTAGAACTGGTAGACTCCGTCTCCAAAACGTCATCCCGGCTTGTGGTCCGCCCCAGGTCTCCCCGTAGCTGCTGTTGCTGCCCAAATGGCTCCGTTTGCTGCCTCGGGTGCTCCTGCTGCCGACTGCGCAGGTGCTGACATGAGGACGTCTTGGCCATGCGTGACATCGTCTCGGCCTCGCTCGCGGAGTCTTCTCCCCGCCTCTGCTTTTCGACCGCCGAGTGAGCCTGCAAGTGTAGAGGTGGCGCATCCCGGTGCTCACCCTTTTGGGGAAACACTAGGACCTTGTCTGAGCCCAGACCGGGCACGGACGGGGACGAGAGAATCGAGGATGATTGAGAGGACAAGGAGGAAACTTCTGTAGCACTGAGGACGGCAGGGATGGAAGAAGACGTCCCTGCGTTCCCGTCCATTTCTTGAGGAGACACATGAGCCGTAGCTTCCTGGCCCTCAGGCCCCTCACGTGTACATCCTTGATCGTCCAGGCGCCGGCCGCAGCTTTCCTCCTCCCGCACTTTCTCCGTGGCCAAGGCAGCTTTCAGTCGGGCCTCTCGCGA